GTCTCTCTTTGTCCAGAGCAAAGAAGAATGAAGAAAACCAAAGACACATGGAAACAATTCATCCTAGGGACTAGTGGACAATGAAAACCTCAGCCTACATGACCCTGAGACCAAAAGAACCAGATGGTGCCCAGCTACCACTGTCAGTCACTCAGAAAGGGATCAGTGTAGGAGATCCTAGATAGAGTGGGAGAAAACTATGGAACAAAACTCAAAATCATAAAAAAGACCAGGCTTACTACTCTGACAGAGACTGGTGAAACCCATGAGACTATGGTCCCTAGTCAACCTTCACGCCTGGAATTGAACTCACTCCCATGGTGTCCAGACAAACGATAGACAGGCTATGAGGTCCACATTTACATCAGGTAGGTACACTCCTTAGAATAATCAACCATGGGAGATTAGAAGAACAGTATTTGCACAGGGAGATAGCTCAGAGGTCAGGAATCTGTACAAAAGAAGGACACGGGGAAAAGGTAACTATAGGGAGGAAGTAAGAAGAGAGCTGTTACATTATGGTGATTGCAATCAATGTCATGAAACAAAATGTGTATGAACTGTTGTATGGAAAATTAATTTGTTCTGTGTGGTGGTTAAATTTGTGTGCCAACTTGGCTGGGCCTGGTTGAGTGACTGGGCAACTGGATGTAGTATTTTCCATGATGAGACTGGTAATCAACTCCATGGTGGGATCTACTGTGAGCAGCTAAGTAGCTGCCTTTGGGATGTGGTCTGCTTCCTGTGTATAAGGAGAAGCCTTGGGAAATGGTCTCTAGCTTATGGCACACTTGAACCCTGCATGTAGCCATGTCGTTGTTCAGCAGCCTGCCTTGCTCTTCCAACTTTGCGACTTTCAATGGACTTGATGGCCTGCTTTGTGGTTTGGTAACAAGAGGACTGTCCATTTTATTTGTTGACCTTGGGCTTGTTAGTCTCAGCACCCAGTGGCTGCCTGAATGAAGAGATGCCTTTAGCTTCAGTACATAGGGGCTTCCATACATCCCGTAGAGCCTGGCACTCTGAACTTGGACTTAAAGCCTCCAGACTGTAAGAGAATAAACTCCTGTTTCTTCAAGCCATACCATTTGTGGTATCTTCTGTTAGAGTAGCACAGAGGTAACCTGAACACTCTGTAAACTTTCACTCAAATCATAATTAAAAAAAAAGAAAAGAACTGACAGTTCAAATCTACCCAGTAGTGCAGCAGAAGACCTAGCAATCTATTTCATCAACATTATAGCCAAGAAACCTTTATGGAACCTAGTCCTCCTACTCTGTCACACAAAGGGTTGACATGAGAATTGACTTAGCAGCAATAGGTTTGAGTTTAGTTTTTTAGTTAGGGGTAGGGGGGCTCTGTTTTCTGTCTTTCACAATTTTTTTCTGCGTAGCTCCTTACCAATATCCATAGAGTAGATTCCAACTCATGGCAATCCCATGTCTGTCAGAGTTGAACTGTGATCCATAGGATTTTCAATGGCTGATTTTTTTAGTAGATGGCCAGGTCTTTCTTCCAAGCTGTCTCTGGGTGGACTTGAACTTCTAATCTTTCAGTTTGTAGCTGAGCATATTAACCATTTGCACCACCCAAAGGACATCTAGCCCTTTAGGCAGGTATTCTGGGCTACTCCTCTGCTAGACTTGACTAGATTCTGGCTCGGCCCTGGCTACTCTCAGATCAGTCCTACCTCACCCCTACCAAGATTCCAAGTACTCACATTTCATCTGGCTTCCTTGGCCCCCTTGTTCATTAGAGGAGATAATCATATTTATGTGTGAAGCCCTTTTTCCTGGGGCTCCTTGCTTATTACCACCCCTCAGCCAGTGGCCTAGAATTCAGACAACTCACAGTCTTTGAGTAAGGAGATATGTCAAGAGCTATGAGCATCCAGTTTCTCAGCCATTTGTGCTGTGATTGAGTGCAACCAGTGCCTGTAGCATCTCTGAAGCTCCTATTCTACTGCCCTAGGTCTCACTAGAGAAATTTACTGGTAACTCCAAAACCCTGCCCTCTTTCCTCTTTTGTTATTGTTGTTGTTATGAGCTGTCAAGTCAGACCCGACTCATAGTGGCCCCTCCTTGGGTTTCTGAGGCAGTATCACTACAGAAGTAGATTGCCCAAACTTTCTGCTGAGGAATGGCTAGTGGATTTGAACCATCAGCTTTCTGGTTAACAGTCAAGTGCCTTAGGCACTATGCTACTAGAGCTCCCCTTTCCTCTTTTGTTGTTGTGTTGTTGTTGTTATGTGCCGTCGAGTCGGCCCCGACTCATAGCGACCCTTCCTTGGGTTTCCGAGGCAGTATCACTACGGAAGTAGGATTGCCCATCCTTCCTTCCGAGGAGAGGCTGGTGGGTTTGAACCGCCAGCCATCTGGTTAGCAGGCAAGTGTCTTAGCCACTATGCTACCAGAGCTCCTTTTCCTCTTTCAGGACTGGTTATATCAGAACCCATAGCAGCCCTTTAGTACAGAGTAGAACTGCCCCGTAGGGTTTCCAAGACTGCCTCATCATTCTCCCACAGAGCAGTTGATGGGTTCGAACCACCAACCTTTTGATTAGCAATGGAATGCCTTAACCACTGTATCACCAGAGGGTTGTAAGTTCAAACCCACCAGCCACTCCATGGGAGGAAGACTGGGCAATCTACTTCTATAAAGATTTACTGCCTCAGAAACCCAAAGGGGTCTCTATGAGTCAGAATCGACTCTATGGCAGTGAGTTTTGCTTTTTGGTTTAACCCACCAGCCACACCTTGGAGGGAAGGTTGAGCAATTCACTTCCATAGTGATACTGCCTCGGAAACCCAAGGAGGGGTCGCTATGAGTCGGGTCCAACTCAAGGGCACATAACAACAACAACAACAAATACCAGAAATACCAAGCTCTACATTTACAGTGTTCAGGTTGAAGACTTGGGGGAGGGGGTGGATGAAGGCATCAAGTGTTATTTTCTTGGTCTCAATATTAGCAAAATTGATAAAGAGGTGGTGAGTGGTGATATTTTTCAGATCACACCAGAACAGTTGTCTTGAAGACAATCCAACTCATGACAACCCCATGTGTGACAGAGTAGATCTGTGTTCCTTATGGTTTTCAATGGCTGATCTTTTGGAACTAGATTGCCAAGCCTTTCTTCTAAGGCACCTCTGAATGGATTTGAATCCCCAACCTTTCAGTTAGTAGCTGTGTTCATTAACCCAGGATGATGCTTTTGCTTCCTAATAATACTAAGTTTGGTAACCTAGCAAAGAATCCCAAAAAGACAGTTTCCTTCCCCACATCATCCACAAAACCAAAAACTCATTTCCAATGAGTGTATGCTGATTCATAGTTGTGATTCCAACTTATAACAAACCTATAGGACAGAGTAGAACTGCCCCATAGGGTTTCCAAAGCTGTAAATCTTTATGGATGCAGACTATCTCATCTTTCTCCTGCAGAGCAGCTGGTGTGTTCAAACCACTGACCTTTTGGTTACCAGCCCAAAGCTTTAGCCATAGTGCCTGTCACCAGAGCTCTCTACATCATCCATAGTTCCAGGCAATTCAGACAGGCAGTGGTTCCCGGGATCTCCCAGATACTAGTATCAGTTCAACCCATTTTTCCATTCTGATAGATTTCCTCAAAAAATGCACAGATTCAATTGGCATAACATACTATACAAAGCATTGTTCCATCTCCTACTCTGGCGAGTAGTGACTGGGGTCTTAAAAGCTAGCAAGCTGTCATCTAGATTCAATGATGGGTCTCTCCTCGTCAAGAGCAAAGAAGAATGAAGAAAAACAAAATTCGTGGAAACAATTAATCCCAGTGACTGGTACACCATGTGATCTGCAGCCTATACAACTATGAGACCAGAAGAACTAGATGGTGCCCAGCTACCACTGTCATCCATTTGGAAGGGAATCTATGTAGGAGATCCTTGATAGAGAAGAACAATGTGGAACAAAACTCAAAATCACTTGGAGAGGAAAAAAAAAAAAAGGTTGGGACCAGGTTTGCTGGTCCAATAGAGCCTGGTGGAACCACTGAGATTATGGCCCCTAAGTGCCCTTCAGGTCTGAAATTGAACCCACACCTGTGGTTTCCAGCCAAACAAAATACAAGCATATGAATTGAATATTTACCTCAAGTAGATACACTCCTTGGAGAGAACATTCATGGGAGAAAGAAGGGCTGCTTATGCACAGGGAGACAGCTCAGGGGGCAGGAATGCATGGAGGGATGGACACTGGGAAGAGGTAACTATGGGGAGGAAGTGGGAGGGGAGCTGTTGCATTGTGGTAAACTGTGGTCAATGACATGAGACAAAGTATATGTGAACTGCTGTATGGAAAGTGAATTTGCTCTATAAATCTTCACCCAAATCACAATAAATAAATAGATAGATAGATAGATAAATAAATAAAATACACAGAGCCATAAAATGGTCCTTTGGCATGTTCAGGAAATGCAAGTAGCCAACTGGAATAACAAGTGCCAGGAAAGGCCACTAAGAGGTGAAGCTGGTGAGGCAGATTGGCCCAGGTCCTGGAGGGCTGGGAATGCCATGAAGTGGCCACATTGAATGACAAGGGGCATTATCAGACTTGCACTTCAGAAAGATGATGGGCAGCTGGAGGGAGATCACATGGAAAGTGGATCTGGAGGTGAGGTAATGAAGGTCAGAAATTTTTTCAATAATCCTACAAGCGGTGGTGGAGCCTCTATTAGATCTAAGGCAGTGGGCATGAAGAGGAGGGACAGACAGTGGGGATTATTTAGAAGACTGAATAATCAGGGCTTGAGATTGTGGGGTAGGAGAATGAAGGAGTGGGGCATGGCTTCCTGTTTTCTGGTTTGGGCAGTAACTCCATCAGGAGCAACTCATCAGGAGGATGAATGTTGGATCCAAACAGCTGCATACTGTAGCTCTAGCTCTCCCGTTGCCCTCTCCTGAACATCTGAAGTGTTCCTGCTAGGCTTTTTGTTTTGTTTTTTCCTTTCAAGGTACAGAAATGTCCTTGGTGTGTTTGGAAGACTTTCAGGCACAAGCACGGGAGCATCTGTCCAAGTCATCTTGGGATTTTATTGATGGAGGAGCTGATGACAGCTTCACACTAGATGACAACATCGCAGCATTTAAAAGGTTTGGTGTCAGGTGTCTGTTCTATTGTTAAGTTAATATGCACTGGTTGAGAGCTCCTTGGAAGGTAGCAGTTCTGGTTTCTGCCTCCAAAGAACACAGGGTACTCAAGATCTAATAATGGAGGGGAAAGGAATTCTGATGGAACAATGATCGAACCACTCAGCTGCTAACTAACAGGTTGGCAGTTAGAACCCACCAGCAGCTCTGTGGGAGAAAGACTTGAAAATCTGCTCCCATAAAGATTTAAGCCTAGGAAACCCTATGGGTTGTTGTACCTTTTCTATAGGATCGCTGTGAGTCTGAACTTACTTGCTGGCACACAACAATAAGAATGGAGAGATGGATGGATTAAGAGGGGATTTATCTTACTACTTCTGTAAAATTAGCACAATTATCACAATATTCTAGAAACTTTGCAACCTGATAATATAGGACAAAAGCCCTGGAGATCACAGTCTCCTAGGCAGGAAGGAGAAGCCAGTTAAGTGGGCCTAAATCTCCCGAGTTTCTAAACTTCTGGCTTGGAGGAGAAAATGTAAGGCATGAGAGAGGACTCAGGAAATGTAGGCAATATGGAGAACCAAGGAGTCATAGGGATGATCCAAGAGAGAAGAGCAGGGGTTAGTAAACAACGGTCCACAGGCCAAATGTGGCCCTCTGCCTGTTTTTGTTTGGCCCACAAAGTAAGAACATTTTTAAATTATTTTTAAGTGGTTGAAAAAAATCAAAAAAAGAAAAAGTTTGTGACACTTGAAATTATATGAAATTCAAATTCCAGTGTTCACAAATAAAGTTTTATTGGAACAGCCATGCTCAGTCATTTACATATTATATATGGCTGCTTTTGTGCTACAACTGCAGAGTTGAGTAATTGTGACAGAGACTGTATGGCCCACAAAAGATAAAATATTTACTGTCTGGCCCTTCAAAAAAAGTTTGCTGGCTCCTGAGACAGAGAGGTAAAAACTGAAAAATTGGGATAGAAGTCAATAAGTTACTTTTATTCAGTATTTTAATTCTTAATTAGCTCCATACTCCCAAGCCCCAAACCATTGCCATCAAGTTGATTCCGATTCAAAGCAACCCTATAGGACACAGCAATAAGATCCACTCAATGGGGTTTCCAGCGGGTATTCTTTATGGAAAAAGACTGTCATATCTTCCTCCCACGGAGTGGCTGGTGCATTCAAACCAAAAACCTATCAGTTAGCAGCTGAACTCTTACCAAGGAGCCTGCCACCAAGACTCCTTCAGCACCATGCTACAGTTGTTGTTGTTATGTGCCATCAAGCTAGGCACTTTAAATGCTTTATCTCATTTTGTCTTTGCAAAACTATTAGGAAATATGTATCATTACTCCAATTTCATAGATGAAGTAACTGAGCCTACCTTACTAAAATTTGCACAATTAGTATTCCCAGAAATATATTTCTAAGTTTGTATACAGAAACAATATTTTGTGTAAAAATGAAAATTTTGGACCAAGAGGTTAAGTGCCCATTAGTTTTAAAAGTATGTTTTACATACTGTACTTATCATTTGTGTGTTCTCTTACCTTCTTCTAACTCAGTTTTAAAATCAGACCTTTAAATGAATTAATTTCTAGCACATGCACAAAAAAAAAAAAAAAGGATCATTAATTATTTGGGATTCTTCCTCTTTCAGTGGCCTTACTCACTTTTTGGAGAATTGTTTCTAATCTGAAAGGGGAAGAACCCAGAATGATTTCATGACTGTACTCTTCCTTTCTAGACCTTATTGCGTTGAATCAATCAGTCCCTCCAAGTGCTGAGAGTCTGGTCAGAAAAGCACAGCTCCAAGACACAGATCCCTGAAAGAGCAAGGCAGGGCATGGTGGGGACCATTTATGCACTAAAGGTTTACAGAAGTCAGGTTAATGTGGAATAGGATGCTAGAGAGGCTTCTTGGAGAGCTTCTATCTGCATCTATGCTATCTAATCAGCTATCAGCCAACTGAGTCCACTAGAGGTTTCTGGGGACCCATCTTGCTAAGACCCACACAGAAATCAGGTGCCCCAAGCCCATACAGTAAATCCAGCCTGGATAGTTAAACCTACCAAGAGAAAACCTCTGTGTTGCCTAGCATAGAATCCGTCTCCGCCCCCGGTTCCTGAAAGATATGTCAGAGGTGGACACCAGGACCACAATCCAAGGAAAGGAGATCAGTGCCCCCATTGGCATTGCACCCACAGGTTTCCACTGTCTCGCCTGGCCTGATGGAGAAATGAGCACAGCCAGAGGTATGGACCAACCTAACCGGAGACTTCCTTCCCAGAGGCCTAGATACATGCAGAAGAAAGTGAGAGGCACCAGTAAAATTTTTCTACAGAAGGGGCTTAAGGAGGAGATTGGGTTAGGGTTGGAGATGGTAAATGGGGAATGAAACTAAATATATATGTAATGTTGAATGTAAAACAAACACTTAAAATAACACATTTTAAAAAGGGGGGCGGGGGCTTAAGGACAGCAATCTGGTTAGAATTAGGGAAAGTGAGACAAGGAATTCTTAAGGCTGGGTTTCTATAACATTTCACCTAAGACTGAGAAAATATCCATTTTCCATAATAAACAGTGGGACAGAATGGAAGAGTCACTGCTAATAAATAAAACCAAAACCAACCTGTTGTCACTGAGTCGATTCAGACTCAGTGGCCCTCTAAGGACAGAGTAGAATTGTCCCATAGGATTTCCAAGGCTGTAATCTTTACAGAGGAGCTCTGGTAGCATAGTGCCTAAGGCACTTGACTGCTAACCAGAAGGCTTCCGGTTCAAACCCAGCAATTACTTCTCGGAAGGATGGTTGGGCAATCTACTTCTGTAGTGATCCCTCCTCAGAAACCCAAGGAGTCGCTATGAGTCAGGTCCAACTTGATGGCACATAGCAACAACAACAGCAACAATCTTTACAGAAGCATACTGCCACATCTTTCTCCCATGGAGTGGCTAGTGGATTCAAACTGCTGACCTTTTGGTTAGCAGCTGAGCGCTTAACCACTGCACCACTAAAGTGTCTTGTTGATAAATGTTGTTGTTGTTGTTGTTGTTGTTTTGCCGTGGAGTCGGCCCCGACTCATAGTGACCCCTCCTTGGGTTTCCGAGGCAGTATCACTATGGAAGTAGGATTGCCCAACCTTCCTTCCAAGGAGTGGCTGGTGGGTTTGAACCGCCAGCCTTCTGGTGAGCAGTCAAGTGCCTTAGGCACTATGCTACCAGAGCTCCCATTGATAAATAGGAAGGTGCTAAAATCCAAAACACCCCTCAGAATAGAGACACTGACTTCTCTGACTCACACTGTGGAGAAAGGCATGCTTAATGTGGTCTGCGTAGTGCCTAAGGCACTTGACTGCTAACCAGAAGGCTGGTGGTTCAAACCCACCAGCCACTCCTTGGAAGGAAGATAGGGCAATCTACTTCCGTAGTGATACTGCCTTGGAAACCCAAGGAGGGGTCACTATGAGTTGGGTATGACTTGACGGCACATAACAACAACAATGTGGTCTGAGGGAGGGGTCTCTTTGACCCCTCACGAGCCAAGGCTGGGGCTGAATGGCAATTCTCTGAAATTAAGATGAGGAGAAAATCATGAGGTTAGGTCCTGACATGAGTCCTTGGCAACTACTCTTACCAAATATTTCTTTTCCTTTTCCTCAATTGACTTCGTCTTCTTGTTTAATAAAACATTTCTTGTTGAGTATATCTGGTTCCTAGTGGTGTAGTGCCTAAGGCATTTGACTGCTAACCACAGGGCTGGCGGTTCAAAACCACCAGTCGCTCCTTGGAAGGAAGGTTGGGCAATCTAATTCTGTGGTGACACTGCCTCGGAAACCCAAGGAGGGATCACTATGAGTCGGAGTTAACTCCAAAGCAATAAGTTTGGTCTACGTTTGAGTAGTTTCCCATTCTCTCCACCCCTATTTGTTGTTGTTAGGTGCCGTAGAGTCCATTCTAACTCATAGTGACCCTGTGTACAAAAGAATGAAACACTCCCTGGTCCTGCACCATCTTCACAATCATTTCCATATTGTTGCAGCCACTATGTCAACCCATACCATTAAGAGTCTTCTTATCTTTCACTGACCCTCTACTTTACCACGCATGATGTCCTTCTCCAGGCACTGACCCCTCCTGGTAACACATCCAAAGTACGTGAGACAAAGTCTCACCATACTCGCTTCCAAGGAGCTTTTAACCTATACTTCTTCCAAGACAGATTTGTTCATTCTTCTGGTAGTTCACAGTATATTCAATATTCTTTGTTAGCACCATAATTCAAATGCATTAATTCTTCTTTGGTCTTTTTATTCATTGTTCAACTTTCTCATGCATGTGAGGTGATTGAAAATACTGTGGCTTGGGTCAGATACATCTTAGCCCTCAAAGTGATATCTTTGCTTTTTAACACTTTAAACAAGTCTTTTGCAACAGATTTGCCCAATGCAATCTGCCACCAAAATAAAATAAAATAAGAGAAGAAAAAGCCAAAAATATTCTTTAGTGACCCCTGCTCTTATTTTTTTTGCGAGACTGCCAGGTCTTCCCTGTGGTATTTTGCTTTGACTCCATGATCCAGAAAGCAATGAATCCAAGGATTCTAAAGCTGAATGTGACATACATCCTGATGGTATTAGGAACCAAGTCTGGCTGTAACCCAAAAATGTGGGTCAGTGCCTGGAGCAATGCAGAGTCAATTCAGTCACACCGAGAGAAGAGAGAAGAAAATGTTTAATCGTATATGCATAAGCAGGAAACAGAGTTTCAGAATACTCTAAATGTCTGCTCACCCTTAATGGGTAACTACAGGGTTAATATAGGTTGAGTTACAGCTTGTGATCATGTGAACACATTCCATTCCCAAGGACCGGGACTCTTTAATCCATTAGAAAGATAAAGAGAGGCCTCTAAGTTATGACTATACATACACCTTATCTCTTAGCTCTAGGAGGCATCAACACCAGGTGAATGCTGTTTTTCTCAAGGTCTACTTCCCTGGAATATCTCAGACTGTATTTTTGGTGTCTTGATTTTGTGCCTCTAAGTTGATAAGCTCTTTCCTGAGGCTATTTTGTACATGAGGTCATAATAGCTAGTTTGAAATATGACCAGTTTATTAAATCTTCATGGTTGAATGTGTTGTGTGGGGTTTTCTTGAGGAGGATGGCCTGGGGGAGGAGAGGAGAGGGGACAAAATAATGGGGTAGATCCTCTTAATGTTGTTGTTGTTGTTATGTGCCATCAAGTGGGATCTAACTCACAGCGACCCCTCCTTGGGTGACCCCTCCTTGGGTTTCCGAGGCAGTATCACTACAGAAGTAGATTGCCCCACCTTCCTTCCGAGGAGTGGCTGGTGGGTTTGAACCACCAGACTTCTGGTCAGCAGTCAAGTGCTTTAGGCACTATGCTACCAGAGCTCCCCCTCTTAATGTTAGGAATTGAAAATACCCTTTTGATTAGACAAAATTCTGTGTGCATGGGTTATAGAATGGTGGTGACATTAACCTGTTGCAAAATTCCATTGAAAATGATTAAAGTAGGAAATGAGAAATATGCAGTCCAGCAGTAGCAGCAGTGTCAACATCATGGTCACTACCATCATCATCAACCTCATTATCACTAACATTTGTACAATACATCACTTTGCAGTTAGAAGAGTGCTCCCATATCCAGGATCTTATTTATTCTCCCAATAATCCTATAAAATAATTATTACTTCCCCCATTTTACAGATAAGGGAAATAAGACTCAAGGCCACAGCTAAGATATGATAGAACTAGCATTCCTCTAATTCCAGATGTCATTCTTTTGCCACTACAAAGCTCAGTCTTCTCCAATGGAATTACATTTCCTCATTCTCTTCCCTCAAACTCACTTCTGCTTCATTAAAGAGATCACAAGAGAAGTCCACTTCCTGCTCAAACTTTACAACATGCCCAACCTAGTTATAAGCATAAAATGGCATCTCTGGTTGAAAATATTTTCTTCTGAAGTATGGGTATTGTATGAAAGGTATACAGAGGAGAACCTAAGCATTTTTATGCCACCTAGTCTGGACATGGGAAGCTCTGGTGGCATAGTGCATAAGGCATTTGACTGCTAACCAGAAGGCTGGCGGTTCAAACCCATTAGCCACTCCTTGGAAGGAAGACTGGGTAATCTACTTCTATAGAGATACCACCTCTGAAACCCAAGGAGGAGTCACTATGAGTCGGATTCGACTCTATGGCATTGAGTGAGTCTGGTCACAGTGCTTAAGACGTTTGACTGCTAACCAGAAGTTTAGTGGTTCAAACTCACTAGCTGCTCCACGGAAGGAAGATGGGGCAATCTACTTCCATAAAGATTTGCCACCTTGGAAACCCAAAGAGGGTCACTTTCAGTTAGAATGGGCTCATGGCAGTGAGTTTGGTTTTGAATGTGAGTCTGATCAAGCCACCTCCTATCCCTGCCCTACAGGGTAACAAAATGAAGTCAAGCTTTATTTCTACTCACAGGGCAGCACAAACTCCTAAGGCCTCCCACTCCAGTCCAGAACACTCCTGCCCTCCAACCTGAGTTGTGTCTTTTGCTTTTGCAGCTGCCCAAGCAGCTGGCATCTGCTATATTACTAGCACATATGCATCATGCACCCTTGAAGATATTGTTACTGCTGCCCCTGGAGGCCTCCGATGGTTCCAATTCTATGTGCAGCCAGATCGGCAGCTAAACAAACAGCTGATCCAGAGGGCAGAGTCCCTGGGTTTCAAAGCTCTGGTAATCACTGTAGATGTACCCACAGTCGGCAACAGGCGACATGACATTCGAAACAAACTGGACTTGAAGAGGAACTTATTGCTAAAGGATCTTCGATCCCCTAAAGAGGTAATAAAAATACCCAATTCAGTGGGTAGGCATTACAGGAGGGAAATTTCCTTCCCTCTGTCTTCCTTTCTTCCCTTCCACAAACATTCTTTGACTACTCTGTGCTATACAGTGGAGTTGCAGCAGTTCAAAAAACACACATGGGCCCTATTCCCAGAGCTTCCAAACAAAATATAAGATAAAACATTCTCACCCCTGGAGCTGCCCAACTTGCCACCAAATTTGGAACCTAAGAAACAGGAAATATAATTGCTGTCAATAAATTGTACATCTGTAAAAAACTGAATTGGCAAAAACAAAAAAAAAAGAAGAAGAAGAAGAAATAGGAAATACATAGAAGGATCTTTGCATGGAACAGGAGAGTAAATAAAAGTTCTTCTGAGGTTTTCTACCTTATGGCACACTTAGAAAATGATCATTTTGGATGGCACACTTTGACAAAGTGCTATCTGGAGAAGATACACACAGCTCAGGCTTCACCCTGAAAACTGACGAGTCAATATCTCTGCATATTTAGAACTCGTCCAGGAAGTACTGCATCTCACTTGTTTGGAATCTCTGAACTAGATGCCAGCAAAGAGCACTTCCCCCATTAAATCCTACAATGAATGGGATAGAGTGAAAAGCCATAGTTGAATTCCACTGATTATAGTACAGAAGGTGATGCAAATGTTTTCAGCCAATGGGCAGCTACAATACTTAGCCAAGTGTCTCAACAGTTCTACCCATTAACCATAAATTGGCCTTGAGGTTTCTGAAAACTTTATCTCTGACTCAAGAGGCACATTGGGGTTTAGGGGTATTTCAAACACATAGTGAACCAAGGGTAAATGCAGGGTAATATCTGATGTAGGATTATTGAAATATTTCTTAGTTCTCCTTATCCTGGGCATATCTCAACCATAACACATCAAATTATGAATGCTTTTATCCATCTCTCTCTGAGACCTTCTAAAGTAACGACTGTATCCTGTTTATCTTTGTATCACAAGGACCTGCCACAATTACTGAGCAAGTATTCGACTAATGGTTAATGAATAAACAATTTAAGTAGAAATTCTTTTATATATGTTTTATTAGGAATAGGACCTAGAAGCATTGTTGAATTTTATTGTTCCTCTTTTCAAGCTTACGAATGGTAGATCTTCAAATGTGTCTCATCTTAGGGATGGGTCAAGCAGTTTTGAAGGAGTTCAGGACTAAGTTTCCCTTTCTATTTTCCGCAGAGAGATTCTACACCGCATCTCCAGATGTCTCCCATTAACCCATCCTTATGCTGGAATGATCTCTCCTGGTATCAAAGCATAACTCAATTGCCCATCATCCTTAAAGGGATCTTGACAAAAGAGGATGCAGAGCTAGCAGTGAAGCACAATGTCCATGGCATCATTGTTTCCAACCATGGTGGGAGGCAGCTTGATGGAGTTGCTGCATCAGTAAGTAGGATGACTTCCAAGGAGAAAAAGAGACAGAGACAGAGAGAGAGAGAGTGTATCCACAAGCAAAGTACTCTGTACAATTTGGTACACATTTGCCCCTCCCTTCCCACATATGTTGGTATATCACTGTACATTTTAAGGGCTTTAAATCACAAATAATAGCCTAATGTGAATCAGGTCATTTTTACACATTTGACTCATATCATCTCTAATTCTTACAAATTTTGCAAGATGAGTATTTTTATCTCTGTTTTAAAGATGGAGATGCTGCAGTTTAGAGATGTGAAGGACTTGTCCATGTTGATAACCACAGTTAGTAAGTGGTTAAGGTGGACCTTGATAAAAAGCAATGCTCCAGAGCATTGAGTTATCCTGCCTTCTAGGAAAAGCACTCAGTTGAAGTTTGCCTCTTTTCATGGACTGTGCACTCATATTTTCTCTTATGACACACTGCAGGAAAGAGTAGCACTTTGTTTAATCCGGTAAATATTGGTCTTTCACAATACAACTGAAGTTTGCCCTAATGAGTCCTTTATTAAAATCTACAACAGCCTATGAATTTATGTTCATTAAAGATGGAGTATGCAAGTAAAAAATGAGGAGGTAAGAGACAGGAAAAGAATCTTTAAATGGGAATTAATTATTGATTTATTTCCATGGAGAATGTATTTTTCCAGAGGTTCTTCTACAGCTGCTTGACTCATTTTTTAAAAAAAGAAAAGTACAAGTTTTTCCTCTAAATTTTGTTAATTTTTTTATTAAGTAAAACATGTTCACTGCAGATAAATTATAAAATACACATAATTTTTAAAAAGATAAAATTCACCCTTAATTTCATCACTATCATTAATGTTAATATTTTGGTAATTGTTATCAACATTTTAATGTAAATATGCCATTTTGTGCTTTAAAAACTATACATACTATTTTGTAATTTTCGTCTTTGACAATATATTAAGAGCATCTTTTCATTTCAATCAATATGCTTCTGTTGTCTGTAATGGTTGTATAGTATGAATGGGGCAATCTACTTCCATAATGATATCTCCTTGGAAATCCACGGAGGGGTCGCTATGAGTCAGATCCCACTCCATGGCAGTGAGGTGTTTTTTTTTTTTTGTTTGTTTGTTTTTTTTAATCTTCTATTATTGAACACCTGTTGAGATTCCAATCTTCTGCTATTTTAAGCAATGCATCTGTAACTATTCTTAAAGCTAAATTGTTTGCATAGTCTCAATTACTTTGTTTTGACAAATTCCAGAGGTCTAAATGTTATGTCAGATGGTTTATACACTCTAAGGTTTGTGGTGCTTAGAGGTTTAAGAAGCACTCACTCACCTCCTCCTCTCCAGTATCAGATTACCCAATAAGCAAGGTAAGCACTGGCTTACTTGTGCTTACTTACTAATGTGTAGTGAACTATTTCACATTTTTTCACCACATCAAAAATTCTGCTTCTAGGTATGGCTGGCGTTTGTTTCTCTCCCAAACCTACAGAACCTTCCTACAGAATCAAAACCTGTTTTCTAATTTATAGTCCCTGACAGGGATGGAGTACCAGTAAGCAAGGTAAGCAGAAGCTTACTTGTGCTTACTTACTAATCTATAGTGAACAATTTCACATAGGTTTGACTAAGTCTTTGTAATAAGCTTACCTTGCTTATTGGGTAATCTGTCCTGCTCCTTTCCACCAGGCTCTGATGATAGAGAATGTTGTTGTTGTTTGCCGTCGAGTCGGACCCGACTCATAGCGAGTCAGACCCTCCTTGAGTTTCTGAGGCAGTATCACTGTGGAAGTAGATTGCCCCATCTTCCTTCCAAGGAGTGGCTGGTGGATTTGAACCGCCAGCCTTCTGGTTAGCAGTCAAGTGCCTTAGCCACAATGCTACCAGAGCTCCCCAATGATAGAGAATAGGCACAGGAGAACAAGGGACATGCCTTCTCGTACCTCTCTGATAAGGGTTGCTTTGAAAAGCATTCTTGTTCTGTCCCAAATCTTTCATCTTATAACCTTAAGAGAAAATGGGTCTGCAGAGTACTCTCTGACCTCTCCCACCAGCCTCTGCAAGGATACCCACAAACCTACTTGTCACACACCTAGTAACTGGTAGAAAGAGGGCATAAAAGAGTGTGGCAAGCCCTGGGCCTTCCCAACTGTGCTTCTAAGTGGGAGCAGAAAGCAAAGAAGAACCCACTCAGGCACACAGCAAATAAACAGGGTAGAATATCGGCTTTTAGAATAAAACAGAAACATCTATTAATGTTAGACTCTCATGAGTCAGTTAAACCAACCTCGTTCCCTTGAAGAAGATTGAATAATGATTGAGAAAGAGGCAGACAAATTCTCCCCCTTACTTCCTCAACAGAGAATGAGTGTTGGCAGAACATCTTCTCTTTCACACAGGCTAAGGAGAAAGAAAGAGAGGAATTTCTCTAACCCCATTGTGGCTGACAAACATGCTATTCTCTCAAACTATTTGATTTAACAACCAAACCCCAGGTTATCCAAAACCAAGCCAAACTCACTGCCATCGAGTTGGATCTGACTCATAGTGACTCCTCCTTGGGTTTCTGAGGCAGTATCACTATGGAAGTAGATTGCCCAACCTTCCTTCCGAGGAGTGGTGGTGGGTTTGAATCACCAGCCTTCTGGTTAGCAGTCAAATGCCTTAGGCACTATGCCACCAGAACTTATAAAGTTATGCAGGGGCAAGGCTAATGTGAGGTAATGAAGCACTTTGCCTCAGGCTCATTATTTAAAATGAATGCAAAAAAAAAAAAAAAATCCATGTTGAACAAAATATCAACATCAAACAAAGACAAGATCCAGTCCTACACTTGAATAATGTTGCTTCAGTAACCTCGCCTTAATCCTCTCTGTATTTCAAATAAGACTTTATTTATTAAAACAGGTCCCCAGCTCACAGGCCAAATTTTCCCAACTTGATTTTTTACGTATTGAATTAAAATATTATTTATCTTGATTACTAAGGTTTTTTTGGCATCCCCTTAAATTTTGTGCTCACTCTATTCCAGTCCTCTGAGGGCAATGGCCTTTTGAGTGACATTCCCAGCTATGAGGCTCCATATCTAACACAGTCCTTATGCTTCTCCCTAGGGCCAGGGGAGGGGATAAGTCAGCTTCTGTTCCTAAGAGACTCTAATGAATGTTTTGTTCTGACCTATCAAAAATTAACTCTAAAAGCATGTTATACCCTAGACTGAAAATTCAACCCCTGTTCTTTTTCTCATCTCAAATTATCTTAAGCTGTATTAACCAATATGACTCACCAGAAGAGTTTGTACAAATACGTTCATTTCTTTCTCACAACATCATAGAAATAATTTAAACAATACTATGCTGGGAATACAAAAATTTCTCATATTTGGAATGAATTCCTCCCAGTTATTACATGAAAGTCAGAAACACTCAATTCCTTTACCACTTGTAAATTAAAGTAAAAAGTTCTTTTATCTCCAGTTTCTTACCCTGCTTAGCCTTAGCCAAAAGATCTTCATCAGAAGAAAGAGCCCTGGTGCTACAGTGATTAAGTGTTCAACTGCTAACCAAAAGTTGGTGATCTGAACCCACCAGAGGTGCTGCAGGAGAAAAGACCTGGAAATCTGATACCCTAAAGATTACAGCCTTAGAAACCTTATGGAGCAATTCTACTCTGTCCTATAGGGTTGCTATGAGTTGGAATTGACTGGACAGCAATGACTAGGTTTCAGCAACTGGTCTTGCTGAATTTCTATCCAGTTTCTTAGTTGTGCCATGAGGAAGTCAGGAATGACTTGGTAGACAGCAATTTCTAAAAAACACGCAATCTAGTTACATAGAACAAGCCGCAGTCAAGACTGGCAGGTGCTGGGAATTATACTCATTTTGCCAAGAGTATTAGTGCCTTGACAATAGAAAATATGTCTAGCTGTGTCCTCCAGAAAAAGAGAGTGGGAGAAAATTAAAGTCAAATTTTTTCTGTAAAAAAGGAGAATGCTAAAGTGAACATTATAAATAGAAAATTTCCTCATTAGGATATACAGTGGAACCTAGCCATTCTCCCAATCTGTAGACAAATAAGTGAGTCAAAAAGAAGCTGTCCTCAGGGGAAAGCAGAAAATTGCAGGAGGGGGAGCCTGGAAAGGCTCACTGGGCCTTGGGAAGGCAGCTGCTGCTACTTTTGATAGACACCAGCAGTTTCAAGCTGACAAAGAACTTGTGAAGGGCATTGTCCCAGCTTGGACTTCCTGGTCCGATCCCATGTTGTAAGGGCACCTCTGCCCCATGAGTCTTTCAGAGTCACATGGGAATCCCAGAGCCACATGGACATTTCTTTTTTAGATCGATGCCTTGACAGAGGTTGTGACTGCTGTGAAAGGGAAGATTGAAGTGTACCTGGATGGTGGTATCCGAACTGGCAATGATGTGCTAAAGGCCCTAGCACTTGGAGCAAAATGTGTTTTTCTTGGGAGACCCATCCTGTGGGGTCTTGCTTGCAAGGTGAGAATGGCAAAGTGAAAGTCAACTGGAGAATACAGAGCTTCTCATTCATGTTCATGCTTTTCTGTGGATTCATCTTCAAACTTAGCCCCTTTTCCAGGTATCTCAGACTCCTGAAGGCTAGTTACAGCTACCTGCATCTTCCTGCTGCCATTTCAGACTTTCAATAGTTCCCACTTGGCATCTTTTTCTCTTTACCCTCCTTTATTCCCAACATTGTTCTAATTTCACAGATGTCCTCCACCAAAGCTTGGGCTACACCCAGGATTTAGATGTAGTGGATAGTTAGAATGTTCCTTCATGGCTCTTTAACTGTCTTTCTCTCTCTGTGTCTCGGGACCAGGGTGAACATGGTATTCTGGAAGTTTTGAACATCTTAAAAAAGGAGTTTCACACATCCATGACCCTTACAGGTAAGTTTTGTATCCTTCTTGGTTTGGAGCTTAAAGAGGGAGATCTAAAGAACAGGAGGGGTTGTCTCTCTACATGCTTCCAAAAAAAATAGAAAAAAATTGTTGTCGTCAAATCAATTCTGACTCATGGTGAACCCATGTGTTACAGATTAGGACTGAGCTCCGTAGGGTTTTCTTGGTTGTAAATGTTTTACGGAAGCTAATCACCAGACTTTTCTTCTATGGTGCCACTGGGTGGGTTCAAGCTACCAACTGTCCAGAAAAGAGAACACGGAAGAAACATGCTAGACCAGGTTGTTTCAGTTACCTAATGCCTCTCTGACCGGAATATACCACAAATGGGATAGCTTTAACAAATAGTTTATTGTCACAGTTTTGGAGGCTTGATGTCTGAGTTCAAAGTGCCAGGCTCTAGGGGCTGGGTGAAAGCCTCTCAGCCTTGGGCTTCAGCTCTGCCTCCTGCTCCTGGCCCACTGAAGCTGGAGGCTTTCTTCACTCAGGCAGCTGCTGGATGCTGAGGCTGACAAACCCAAGGTTCACAAGTAAAAAGGCACAGTCCTGATGTTATCAAATGACATGGAAGGTCACTAATTCAACTCCAGAAGAAGTCCCAGGACTGGCAGGGCATGGCAGGCTGTTGAACAATGACACAGCTACATGCAGGGTTCAAGCACGCCATAAGTTAGAGACCATTCCCAAAGATGCTTCTTATATATGGAAAGCAGACCACATCCCAAAAGCAGCTTACTCAGCTGCTCATGCCGGATTCCACCATGGAGTTGATTGCCAGTCTCATCATGGGGAATAACTACATCCAGCTGCCCAGCCACTCAACTAGGCCCAGCCAAGTTGACACACAACCTTAGCTACCACACAGGTTTAAGCATACACTTAAAATGTGATATATCTGCAATGAAAGCAACTGCAATTTCTGAATTATGGGAAAGAAGAGTCCCATTTTACTCTGCTTCACTCAGATGACACCAGGCATATTGGATGATGCTCTGGGTGTCCTCTTTTAAGTCATATGCAGACACTGTGAATAGTCAAAAATTGTGCGAAAGAGAAAGGGAGGGAAAATGAGGAGATACAAAGAGGAAGAGAGAAGGGCACACAATGTCTGATGGAGAAGTACTGTCCTGCATAAGCACAGGTGACAGAACAAATACAAATGTCTCAACATTTTAACTCCAGAGTGAAATTATAAAGTTGCACTCATAAAATATCATAAGTTTTTAGCAAAGGCTGGGGTTCCAGTGATCTTGTACAATAGTAGGTCTTAACCAATGATGGTACCTTCCTCTTCAAAGACATTTGGGCTTTGATTTCTTGTGGTGTTTTATACTTGTCACAATGACTGTAGGGCATGTACTACAGGTATTTAGTGCTCAGGGATACTAAATGTTCTAAAATGCTTGGAATCCTCTAATAGTGAAGAATTATCCTACCCCAAATGTCCATAGCAAATAGCTCTCTTTGAGAAACTCTACTGGTACTCACTAGTCTCAGTGTTGTTGTTGTTATGTGCCATGGAGTCGGACCCAACTCATAGCGACCCCTCCTTGGGTTTCCAAGGCAGTATCACTATGGAAGCAGATTGCCCCATCTTCCTTCCCAGGAGTTACTGGTGGGTTTGAACCGCCAGCCCTCTGGTTAGCAGTCCAGTGCCTTAGGCACTACGCTACCAGAGCTCCCTTCAGTCTCAGTAGGTCTTTGTAATATATTGCAGTGTAAGAGGACAGACAGGATGAACTCCAAAAAGACTTCCAGTCATTCCTCAATTCACAGAATCAAGACCACTTCTACTCCATTCATGTATTTTCACAAATGTTATTGAGCATCTGTCCTATGCCAGGCACAACACAAGATGTTCAAGTCTTCTCAAGTCTGGCTGTGATATAATATTTAGAAAAGTATCTCACACCCAGTGTCTGAGTTGCATATTATTCATTAAAGTAGCAGTCTCAACTTTCTGGTCTTGAGCAGTATAAGCTAGAAAATTTAGGCCAGCATTAATGCCAGTGCCAGGCTCAATTCCACTGAGCAGACAGAAATGGATCAAGACCGCTAGGTTTCAGACCATCAGTTTCAGGCAGGCCCATACTGTTGTTGTTAGGTTCAATCAAGTCAATTCCAACTCACAGTGACCCCACATGCAAAGTAGAACTGCCCTATAGGGTTTTCTTGGCTGTAATCTTTCCAGACCACCATTCATCTATCAGTTTATCATACTGTGGTGGCTTGTGTATTGCTGTGAGGCTGGAGGCTGTGCCACCAGTATTTCAAATACCAGCAGGGTCACCCATGGTGGACAGGTTTCAGTGGAACTTCCAGACTAAGACAGACTTGAAGAAGGAAGGGACCATCCACTTCCCAAAGAATTGGCCAGTGAAAACCTTTTTGAATAGCAGTGAAACACTGCCTGATACATTACTAGAGAGCTTAATGAATAGCCCTGAAACATTTGTCCCCTATAGTGCTGGAAGATGAGCCTCTCAGGTTGCAAGGCACTCAGAATATGACTGGGGAAGAGCTGCCTCCTCAGGGTAGAGTTGACCTTAATGATGTGGATGGAGTAAAGCTTTTGAGGCATCCATCTGCTGATGTAGCACAACTCAAAATGGGAAGAAATAGCTGCAAACATCCATTAATAATGAGAACATGGAATGTATGAAGTATGAATCTAGGAAAATTGGAAGTTGTCAAAAATGAAATGGAACACATAAAGATCAATATCCTAGGCATTAGTGAGCTGAAATGGACTGGTTTTGGCCATTTTGAATCAGACAACCATATGATCTACTATGCCGAGAATGACAAATTGAAGAGGAATGGCGTGGCATTCATCATCACAAAGAATGTTTCAACCTCTATCCTGAAGTACAATGCTGTCAGTGATAGGATAATATCCATATGCCTACAAGGAAGACCAGTTAAAAATAATATTATTCAAATTTACACACAAACCGCCAAAGCCAAAGATGAGAAAATTGAAGTTTTTACCAACTTCTGCATTCTGAAATTGACCAAACATGTAATCAAGATGTATTGATTATCACTGGTGATTGGAATGCAAAAGTTGAAACAAAGAAGAATCACCTGTAGTTGGAAAATGTGACCTTGGTGATAGAAATAACACTGAAAATCACATGCTAGAATTTTGCAAGACCGACTGATTCATTGCAAATACATTTCTTCAGCTACACAAACAGCAGCTATACACGTGGACTCACTAGACGGAGTACACAGGAATCACTTCAGCTACATCTGTGGCAAGAGGCAATGAAGACGCTCAATACCTTCAGCCAAAACAAGGCCAGGAGCTGTCTGTGGAACAGACCATCAGTTGCTCATATGCAAGTTGTGGTAGTTATGTTTGTGTATCAACTTGGCTGGGCCTGGTTGAGTGGCTGAGCAGCTGGTGGTAGTTATTCCCCATGATGAGACTGGCAATCAACTCCATGATGGGATCTACCACAAGCAGCTGAGTAGCTGTCTTTGGGATGTAGTCTGCTTCCTGTATATAAGGTGATGCCTTGGGAATGGTCTCTAGCCTTTGGCACACTTGGACCCTGCATGTAACTG